CTTGCCCCCCTGCCACTTTAGCCAATTAGATTTCAGCACCCCAAGTTGCTTGGTGGAAAACCGCGTATTTCATTCATCATTTATAGGGCTCTCAAAGTATGCGTCCGTGACTAAAATATGACCTCTGGTGGACAGTAGCAGACTCCTAAATGAGACAGATTCAGAGTTCCAGATGAGGTTATTAATTAGCAAATAATATAAATATTACAAACGTAAACATTAGGTGAGCAGGTTACGTTGTAACTCAGGATCCTAACAAGCTACGAGATTTGTCTGTTTGCACCAGACGAAACACGACAGAAATTTAAGTAAGGCAATTCAGTAGCACAGAATATGCACTCCCTCATGAAATAATAAGGATTATAATTTAATTTATACATATTAAACATTTTTAGCATTATTAAATGTAGATACTGAATCACTGATGTGTGTTGATTTTGAGTCACTGTTCTAAAGTTTAATTTTAAATGGTTCATTTCATTTTCAAGATCTGGGGTGAACTTTCTGCTGCTGCTGTCAGTATTATGGCTATAAATGTCATGTAAAATGGCATTCAAACTCACATTATTAGCATTTAACACTGAATAAAGCACACGAGGTGTACCTGAGGTGATCGTTGTCAGTTTTCTGTTGTTCAGCTGCAAGAAATAGAACCCGTTTCTAATATATCAATTTAAGGTGTTGGTTAGGACACAAATTCATTTTAGTGTAAAAATATTCATTCTATCACGTGCCATTGCTTTTATTTAGAACACGGTTTAAATCAGCCTTTAGACTCGATCATCAGACTGGCACCTGTTGGTCCTCAATCTGGCAACCTGCACTTGTGTTTGTTTTTATCCAGGTATGCAATACCTAATTCAACCACTGGGTGTCAAACTTACATACTGCATTTTTTATCATTATTTAAGATTTAAAGCACTGTAATCCAGACATTCTGCGGATACTCCTACTTTTCAGTTGGGGTTTTATGGAAAGAAATAATTGGGAATTACAGTCCCAATGTGTATGTATGTACAGTTCACAGCATAAATATGTTCACCCCCTTTTGAAAATGATTGTTTTCATCCATTTCTCAGTAAATATGAACAATACATTTTTGTTCATTTAAACATAATAGTTTTATTAGACAGTTCTATTAATTGAAATAAGAGTGTGGTCACCTTACATCTTAAAGATAATACATTTAAATTCTAAATTAAAAATGTCAACAAAATTGTATATTCTAATTTCTTTTTATGTTTCTCTAGATTTTCCCTCTTTATTAACCTTTTATTTCATAATTAAGTGTAAACTTACAATTATTAATATGTACAATATTTTACAAAATGTGTATCTACTAATTTTGGACCTTGTCTTTACAGGAAATGTTGACCCAAAAATAAATCATTTTCATTTGCTCTCCTCATCCTTGTTTCAAACCTTTATTAGATTCTTTCTTCTGTTGAAAAGATCATTTAAAACATGTTTCAAACCTGTAACATTTGACCTTTTTTCCTACTATGGAAGTCAATAATTACAGGTTTTCAGCTTTCTTCAAAATATCTTCTTTTATATTAAACAGGGGTAGTGAGCACTGTTGTGTCAGAGCAAGAAGGTTGCTGGTTCGAGTCCCGGCTGGGCCAGTTGTCATTTCTGTGTGGAGTTTGCATGTTTCCCCATGATGGCATAAAGACATGCATTATAAGTGATCTGGATGAACTAAACTTCGCTTTAGTGTATTAGTGTGTGTGAATGCGAGAGTGTATGGGTGTTTCACAGTAATTGGTTGTGGCTAATAGGGCATCCACTGCAAAAAAAAAAAAAAAGGCAGAAATAGTCGGCGATTAATTTCGCTGTGGCGACCTAAATAAATAAGGGAATAAGCCAAAGGGAAATGAATGAATGTACTTAACCGGCAAAATAATAATTTAAAGGTTTACAACTACCTGAGGTTAAAATGTTATTTTTGGTTTACCTATGAATCAAAATTAACTTTTGGAATCTATTTGGACAGAACTGTGTGTAGTTATAGTGTCTATAGTCATATTGGACTGATATGAACACAAGTCACTCTCTCTCTATTCATTTCCTAATGTTAAATAGGATCCAAATCCCAGTGAATTTAAGATCCATTGCAACATTTTCCCCACCCAGCAAATTGATTGATAGGCGCATATTAACAAGTCTCCATAGTAGAGAAGATATGTGAAAACGTGCAAAAAAAAACACCACAAAAACATCTGTCACTGACTGCTGTTTATCTGACACAGTGGCAGATTTAGGCATGGGCAATATTGGGGGATCGCCCAGGGTGTCATCTTGCTAATGGTGGCATGGAAACACTTACCCCCCACCCCCAACTGACCACCTACCCAAACCCCCATCCCACAAAACTACAAATGACTTCAGTCAACTAAAATATAATAAATTGAATCTCTCAAAATCTCAGCAGAGGATCATTAAGGAAATAGCACAAACAGCAGCCTTACTTTTTACCAACCTGTTTGCCCTTATTTATAGAGGAACCAAATACTCTCTGAATGGAGTAAATTTTACACTGGGGATATTGTTGTGTAGAGCGCCAGTTAAGCTTGTGACGGTACCAATCTGACATAAGGCAGGAGAAGCAGACATGCATGTACGAACAGTGGGCCAGGAGAACCAGGTCATTTGCACTTAAAGGCACAGGCTATAAAAACAGTAACAATTTCCCTTTTCCTCAACATTTATATTTTCAGCAGGGTATAAAAAAGGATCTGATGGGTGTTTTGAGCTGAAACTTTTCAGGCACATTTTGGAGACACCAAAGACTTATCTTACATTTTGTAAAAAGAGTAAAATAGACGGACTTTAAGTTATTTCGTTAGATATTTCGTTTTTGTCAGATTAGTCCCAGATGTGGCTTTGGTACTGACTAAACTAATGTGTATAAACTAATATATTATTGTATATCATTCTACACAGAATATTAATATAAAAGAGATATATGTGAGGGGTGTATTCATTTAGGCTGGGCACTGATTTGCCTGAATGAACTTTTTTTCTTATGCTCTTTAATGATGCCTCCGTTATTTACTGCAGCCTTGGTCCAATTTGCCTTGGTCCAAAATGCTGCATTTCACTCATAAAATTCACTGCGGTGAGAGTAATTCAGAATAATAATTTCAGTGGTCTGACTTTCAGCCTTCAAAACTATTTTCATGTGTACAGAATGTATGAAAACACACTGGCTGATAAATCTTTCATTATCTGCCCAAGTCTTTGCTCACCTAACCTCATCACTCTGTGTAATGTCAGAGAAATGAGCTGCGTTTGCTATTGAGAGATATATCTGAGCTATGACTCAAATGTGATACTCGACCCCTTCAGGCTGTTTGCCAATAACTGTATAATATCTACAGCATCATGATTAATTTCTCTATATATATATCAAAGAGATTTGCATTCGCTCTCAGCTACAGGTACATAATGAGGTGTGCATGTGTGAGTGTCTGTGTGTGTACTGGTTTATGTGGTTTACTAGGACCCAAATTAGGGTAATGACATGACCAAGGTGTTAAAATGTTGAGGTGGTTTATAAGGACATGCCTTTGTGTCTTGCAAATCATTACCATGATCTTCATTCATTTTCCTTCACCTCATTCCCTTTATCAAGAGTCACCACAGAATGAACCGCCAACTTATCCAGCATACATTTAATGCAGTGAATGCCCTTCAAGCCACATCCCAGTACTAGAAAACACCCATACACCCTTGTGTTTTGCAAATCACTACTAGGATCTTCATTCATTCATCCATTTAATTTCCTTCAGCTTAGTCCCTTTATTTATCAGGTGTCGCCACAGCGGAATGAACCGCCAACTTATCCAGCATGTTTAACACAGAAGATGCTCTTCCAGCCCCAACCCAGTACTGGGAAACACCCATACATCTTTGTGTCATGCAAATGATTATTGTGATCTTCACTTATTCATTCATTTTCTTTTGGCTTAGTCCCTTTAGTTATCAGCAGTCACCACAGAGGAATGAACCGCCAACTTATAAAGCATATGGTTTACGCAGCAGATGCCCTTCCAGCCACAACCCGGTACTGGGAAACACCCATACACCTTTGTGTCTTGCAAGTAATTAACAGAATCTTCATCCATTCATTAATTTTCCTTTGGCTTAGTCCCTTTATTTATCAGGGGTCGCCACAGTAGAATGAACTGCCAGCTTATTCAGCATATGTTTTACGCAGCAGATGCCCTTCCAACTGCAACCCAGTACTGGGAAGCACCCATACACTCTAACAGGATCTTTTTACAGGATACAAAATCATGGTCTGGTTTAGGGTAAGGGTAATATAAGTAATTATACATTTATTTGTAAAAAAAAATAAAAATAAATAAATCCATTATTTTTTGCTAGGGTTCCGGGAAAAAAAGTAAAATAACCGTATAATAAAAGATGTCAAATTACACAAATATACCGTAATTCAATTCGGCAGAAAATGTCTGTAATTTAACGTCCCTTATTTTACAGTAATTTCTGTTATTTAACAGCCAAAAAAGCATAAAATAACAGATTTTTATTTAAGAGTGTAAGTATTATTTCTTCTAAGCAACATTTTTTTTTAATTTCTAAAATTAACATTTTCTCATGATCTTGTGTATGTGATCAGTAATTTCATGTTCATGCAAGAAATGTGTTTTTTCGTTGTATTTAAAGTGAAATAACTGAATATAAATATGAGAGGCTGTTCTTCTGAAAAGGCTCATTTCAGAAAAAAAATTCCGACAGCACTTAGACATTTATGCATCTGAACTCTTTCTTGAAAATAACCTATATTCTCTCTCGTTTGCTGCACTACTAAGGACCAGAAAAAACCTTTTAAGAAGACACACTTTTAAAGAACTGCTCTCTGCCAAAATGAGCACTTCAGTGGCACTGCTGCTGTTCCCTTCCACACGCTTAATTTCTGAGAATGCGATAGTGAATGTGACTGATTGGAGTTCATTCATGATTTTCTCGCTCACCTGTCCGCGCTCAGTGCCGTGAGAGTGAACACGGAGACTCCGACCGAGGTGAGCTGGATCACCGGGATCATCTTACAAGCCACCGTTCCGAAGATCCACTCCTCGTAGAAATACCTGAACGCGTCCACTGGCACACAAGTGACCAAAAGCAAAAGATCCCCCACAGCCAAGCTGGAGATGAAAATGTTTGGCACACTTCGCATTGCGCTTGTAGTAATAAATATTTTCACGAGAGTGATGTTTCCCAGTAAACCAACCGTGATGATAAGAATGTAGACCGACGGGATAACGCATTGAATGATGAAATGCACGGTTTCCCCTCCATCTGACGTCCAGTCCTCTGTGAAGTTCTCGTAGACTGCGGTATCCTCGGAGAAAGTATGATCCATATTTCGGTTTGGTGATTGGGAAAGCAAAAGAGATGAAAGGAAATAAAAAGTTTCAGCGCGTGTGAGGAGATCAATGAGAGAAAGAGAGATGCTGTCCGCCAAACTTAGTGCTGAAATGAGCGATGTCTTCAGCCACGTCCCCGAAAGTTGACTGGCTTCTTTGACAGGCAGGAACAACTAAAGGGGGAGTATATGTGGCAAACCGTTTTAACATTAGAGCTTTCACATCAAATAATAGTTGTTCATTTTAGTAATGCATATTTTTGGCTACAAATTCAATATAGTGCCTACAGTTGAATAAAGAAATATTATAATTGGTTTTTAAAACAATTTAAAACTGCTTTTATTCTAGCCAAAATAAAACAAATAAGACTTTCTCCTGAAAAAAATAAATAAATAAACAAAATTTTATATATATATATATATATATATATATATATATATATATATATATATATATATATATATATATCCTATATAATTCCTATATAATAATTCCTAATAGAATAGTAAAATTCCTTGTTCTGTTAATCATATAATAATATTAATAATAAAAAAAAAAAAAATATATATATATATATATATATATATATATATATATATATATATATATATATATATATATATATATATATATATATATAAATTATAAAATCCCAGGAGGGCTAATAATTGTGCTTTCAACTGTATATAGTTTTATTAATGTAGTGCAGATCCGGGGAAATCCCCCAATAAATATCTAGAAGTATAAATTATACCTATAAACTATGTATAACATCGTTTTTTATCATATTTTGCATGGTGAGAGTTAAACAAATTCAGTTGTAATGTAACTAAATATTATTTAATACAATAAAATATGACATTATTATAAATAATGTAGTGCTTTGAATTGAATTAGAAACATTTTTTTAAGTATCCCACATATTTTGAAATAAAACTGTCTTGGATAAAAACACAATAAAGCCCTGGCTTGTTTTCATTGTGGTCCTCTCTGTTGAAAAAACAAAGTAGGCTGCAAACTCCTACTCCTACTCCTACTCCTAATTCCGAAAACAAACAGTACCTCCACAATTTAAAACAGGAACAAAATTATTCACAAACATATTTATTCATTCATTTATTCATTCATTTATTTTCTTTTCGGCTTAGTCCCTCTATTAATCAGGGGTCACCACAGTGGAAAGAACCGCCAACTTATCCAGCATATGTTTCATGCAGCAGATGCCCTTTCAGCTGCCACCCTATTTACAATATAATAACATATAAGTTAAAAAACCTCATCATCCACCATGCAAACTAATTATCCTCATCAAACAACCATCTTTTGATTGCTTTTTTTAAACCTCCTTAAGTCTTTTATTTCCTAGATCATTTTTGGTAATTTGTTCCACATTATTGCACTTGCATATAAAATTCCAGCAGTCCAACAGTCAAATGTATAAAAATATATTTATTGTTTTAGATGTAAATTAATTTAAAGAAAACTAATCATTTAAAATGTAGAGATTGCATTAATTTAAAATGTTGAAAAGAATAAGTGATATATTAAAAACAGCTACATAAATAAAAATTAAATAAAAGTTGAAAGGGTGCATTTCAGGACTTGGGCCCTTTGGCTGGAATTGCTAACGGCCCCAAAATCACTAAATCCGCCCCTGTTAATAAGATTCACAAAGTAACAGTAAGGTGTAAAAGGGGAACTGTGAAATGCAGAAATGCTAAAATAGTATGTTCTTATAAAAAATGCTCCAATTTTGGTTTTTTTAAGAAAATTATCTTACTAGTATTTATTAATTGCTTGTCACTAGGTCATCACAATTAACTGTAACACAATTTGAGTTCATTTTATTCTAGTCTGTTCCACGGTTTTAATTGTACTCTATATGGTTGCAGTTAAGACAAAAATCCACCCTATGTTTATGAGTGAATTGTGGAACATATAAACTACTTGCTATTATCAATTTGTAATATTTTAGAACACAATCAAATGAAATATCACATTGCTTAAATTCAGCATCTAGTTTTTTTTTTTTTTGTTTTTTTTTTTCTTGTAATGACTAAACAATGTCTCAGTCTACCCTACATGAGTGCAAACTCACAAGTAAGCTGGTAATTTACTATGGTTTATAATCATGGAAATTGTACTTTTAAAAGTTGTATTGATTTTACAGGAATTAATTAGATTTTGCTTGAGAGTGTGTAAATTATTGTAATGGAATGGAATTATTGAATAAATGTTAAACTGGCTTGCCATAGGAATCAACTCTTAAGTGTGTGCAGCGTTACTGAGTTTTGCACTGTCTATCTATCTATCTATCTATCTATCTATCTATCTATCTATCTATCTATCTATCTATCTATCTATCTATCTATCTATCTATCTATCTGGCTGGCTGTCTGTCTGTCTGTCTGTCTGTCTGTCTGTCTGTCTGTCTGTCTGTCTACTGTATATATCTGTCTGTCTGTCTGTCTGTCTATCTATCTACTGTATATGTCTGTCTGTCTGTCTGTCTGTCTGTCTGTCTGTCTGTCTACTGTATGTCTGTCTGTCTGTCTGTCTGTCTGTTCAAACAGCAGAGAGTTGAATGAAAGCAATTGATGCATGTATAAAAAGCATTTGTAATTTGTTGGAAGGAATGAGAAACTGCTACTATAATGTGCACAAATGACTAATTGTAACTGTTGTGCAAATGTAAATAGTGTTGTGAGATTGCACCAAAGTGACTAAGAAAAACTGTAAACAAACAAAATAAACTGAACAATACTGCATTTAAAAAGTTTGTTTAAATTCAGATCATTTAAATTGATTTCAATCACTTACCTTAAAAAAAATTGTAAATCCAATAAATATTTTTTTTTAGTGTGTCAAAATGTTTTGTACTTCCCCACCATCCACACTACATTCTGCATTCACATCCTGTTTTCTATTGCATGACAAGAACAATAACATACAAAAAATTAAGGAATACAGTGCTTACAATTGTTTTTTTTTTTTTTTTTACATCAAACGATCAAATCAATAGAGAATAAAAAAATGTATTAATTAAATAGAATTTCAGGGGATATATAAATTTGCATAAGAAAATTATTCCAAAATTGCTTACCTCCTTATAGATTTTTAAATTTTTAATGTCTTTTAGTGTTTCAATATAAGATTAATTTTAAACAAATAAATGTTTGGTTTATCATTGGACCATTTTTGTTTGTCTACATGGTACTTTCCATATATAGTGCATCCCTAAAGTATTCTTAGCACTTCACTTTTTCTTCTATAGAGAGAGGAGAACCTTTCAGAAGGACAACCTTCTGTACCGTAATCCACAAAACAGGTCTGTATGGTGAAGTAGCTGACTCAAGATACTCCGCACGTGGAATTTGCCAAAAGGCATCTGAAGGACCCTCAGACCATAAGAAACAAAATTCTTTGGTCTGATGAGACTAAAATTGAACTCTTTGGAGTTAATGCCAGACGTTACATTTGGAGAAAACCAGGCACCACTCATCAGCAGGCTAATACCATCCCTACAGTGAAGCATGGCGGCGGCAGCATCATGCTGTGGGGATGTTTTTCAGCAGCAGGAACTGAAAGACTAGTCAGGATAGAGAGAAAGATGAATGCAGACATGTACAGAGACATCCTGAATAAACACCTTCGTCAGAGTGCTATTGACCTCAGACTGGAGCGATGGTTCATCTTCCAGCAGGACGATGACCAACGCCAAAATATCAATGGAGTGGCTACACAACAATTCGGTAAATGTTCTTAAGTCGCTCAACCAAAGCCTAGAAGCCTAGCATTTTGCTCCAAAGTTTTATTATTATTTTATGTCAAAAAATATTGTTACAAGAAAACAGAATTTTTAATTTTGCAAGTTTAAATATAAGATATTCAACATTAAACTAAAACACTTGGGTATATGCGCATTCAAAGTACAGTTGTTTCATCGATTCCTCCTCTAATTCACAAAACATGCATGCAGATTTTGTCTCTAAAATATTTTCAACAACATTTAGGTCCTGTTTTGAAAGTGTATGTGTAAAATTAAACCTCTGAAGCTCCATATCGGATAGAATGATGTCATCCATGAGCTACAGCCACGCATCAGTATAGCGTGAACTGGGATTGTGTGTATTTTGGACTCGTCAGGTGCAGCTTTTGTCCCCACGCTCTCCCTTATCAGAGTTCAGCGCTTTCATGCTCTTTCTATGACTCGCAAGGGGATTTACTGGCGAAAGAGCTGCAATAAATACGTAATAAGAAAACCAACTGGGTCTGGACAGCTAAGAAAACATGTAGGGGAAAAAAGCTCCAGTCACTTGCAAAAAAAAAAAAAAATTGTGCAAAACACAAGAAGACTTGCTTCTGTGTGTCACAGGAGATTGTAAACAGCAGTGCCTTATTATTATTATCATTCTAACCATTTATTACCTTTGCCTTTTCATCCATATAGGGGTAAAATAAACAGGCATCGCAAAGAGACATTCATGCATTAAGTGCTGATGACAAAGGTTCCTTGTCAAGACAGATCTTGAAATCGGATTTTCTTTTGGCCTTGGTCACAGAACCAATTTATCACGAGCCTGTCTTGTTCCTTGCTTTTGGTCTGCACAGCTTGTCCTTGCGCCTTAATGCTGAATACCAAATTTTTAACTCTCAGGAGCCTCATTTTAAAACACTGAATTCAACTTATTTAGAAAAGATGGGGTGTTTTGACAACTTTTACTGGTTTTGCTCTGATTAAGATAATCCAATGGGTAATCAACAAAGCCTTGCATACCTGACAGCCATCACATTAGTTTTGACGTGCTACTTTGACTCACATCCGGGATTGGGAACAATATCATTTCTGTTTTCTGTTCTAATTGGGTGTGTTTACCACAACACAGATGTTGTCTGGTGCAAATGTGGCCCATGGTAATAGACAAAATTGCTAGCTAATAAGCCACTGACACAACTGCATGTGGTAATGTCATATGCTGATTTAGTGACATCTGCTGGTATTCATGACGCTCTTGAAGCAACCATGTTAATAATTCAGAGACAAAAAGAATCTAATTATAGTAGAATGTCACTGAACTATGTTTCTACGAGTTTAGCCTCTAGCAGATATCCTTCACCATTATCTGCAGTAAAACCAGCAGTGAATGGCTGTCATGACCAAAATATCTTTATTCCATCCGCTCTTTCTTTCTTTTTTCAAGGATCCAGGCTTTTCATATAATTTTCTTCACCATTTCAACATGAAGAAAATGGCTTTTTATTCAAAACTAAAAACATATGAAAATAGAAATACTCCTTAAGATTAATGTGAGAGAAATGTGAGAGAAAGCTAACTTATTTACTGACACATTTTTTGAAAAAAAAAATAATAATAAAATATATATATATATATATATATATATATTTATTTATTTATTTATTTATTTATTTATTTTTTTTACTCAGGGTTGGGCAAAAATATATTTAAGTGTAAGTGTAGATTAAATACTGTATCAAAATAAACCACAAAATATAGCAGTCACAATGTGTATCAAAACAAAATACAGTATTTTGTATTTTAAAAATGCTACAAAACTACTTTACAAAGGAGCATGACATTTCTTTCTAAAAACCTCCATCAATTAAACCTATATGATCAATCCCTTCCTCTGATCAACTACTGGCATTTGAAACAGCGAGGGAACTATTGTAAGAATTGCCACTGGACTTATTTTTATGTTGTTTGTTTAAACGACAAACATTTGGCATTCAGCAATCCATCCAAAACTACTATTATATGAGTATACTCTTTCTCCTAATATTTGTTCAATTCTTCTTTAAATGGAAGTCTATAACATCCAGAGCAACAATCAGATAGTGCATGCCTATGATGTCTTGATGGAGATTTTTTACAAAGTATTTTACAGTATTTTAAAAATCCAAAATTGCAAGACACTAAAGTATTTTGACACAAAATATTAACCCATTTTCATAAACCCCATCAAATACAAAATACTATTCATTAATTCTCTTTTCGGCTTAGTCCCCCTACCAATCTACTGTCGCCACAGCGGAATTAACTGACAACTTATCCAGCATATGTTTTACGCAGCCGATGCCCTTCTAACCGCAACCCATCACTGGGAAACACATACACATTCATTCACACACACATACACTACGGACAATTTAGCCTTCCCAATTCACCTGTACCACATGTCTTTGAACTGTAGGGGAAACTGGAGCACCCAGAGGAAACCCACACAAACGCAGGGAGAACATGCAAACTCCACACAGAAATGCCAACTGACCCAGCTGAGGCTCGAATCAGCGGCCCCGCAAAATACTGTTTTGTCTTAAATACGTATTTGAAATACATGACTCATAAATACTGCCCAGCACTGTCATTATGCAAAATGTATTAAATGTCACTTGATTAGCTTTATGCACCCTTGATGAATAAAAAGCTTTTTTAGACTTGTTTTGATGTGTATTTTGTGATGGAAACACCATATAACAATTCTTTGTCTGTGCTACATGTGAGGCTATTATCTATGTGAACATGTAAATGTTAATACATAATGGATCTCATTATTATGAAAAGTTGAAACCGTTTGTTTTCTTCTTATACATTTCAAATTGCCTACATATGCAATATTTTATACTCTCACTGTGTAAAATGCATTAGCTTTAAAAGTTGAACCTTGAAAATAATCAGAAATGTTTCCTGAGCAACAATTTATCAAACAATGTATTTTTTTCTGAAGGATCATGTGACACAGAAGACTGTAAGGATGCTGAAGATTCAGCTTTATCATTTGATGAATACAATACATAATAAAATAAATTAAGAAAAGTTGTTTACTAAAAACATTTCCCAGAAATGGGTTGCGGCTGAAAGGACATCCGCTGCGTAAAAACTTGCTGGATAAGTTGGCGGTTCATTCCGCTGTGGCGACCCCGGATTAATAAAGGGACTAAGCCGACAAGAAAATGAATGAATGTTTACTAAAACAATATTGTGCGATATTACTGTAGAAGTCAGTGGAGAAGACACTTCTTTTTTTCTATCGATAGTCGGACGGCATCATACTACTATTAAAATTCGTGTAACGGAGTCCTTCATGCCAGCGAGCAAACAAAACAATCAAGCGTGGTCATACATGAAGCATCACTTTGACTGACAGCTATGCTTGCGTGTGCACCACGTGCGCAATGACCGTATGACCGAGAGACCCAGCACTCTTATTTCGGTAATTAGCATCACTGTGGCCATAATGATCTATTCTTTGCAACGTTTCTTTGATGTCTTGCCTGTCTGTTTGCCCTTTGGTTTATGAGTCGAAAAAGCTTGCCGTCAGAAAGGCGCCCCCAACATGCTGCTTTTCCAGCAGGTCTGTCTTTCCCTCGGGACGCAGTGACATGAGAGCAGGACCTCGGTTCTGATTAGGAAGGGGGATGAACAACACTCCGCCTGGATTACGGTTGGTGTGTGGACTTTTAATGGACCATTTATCGTTTGTGAAATTTTTATTGCCGTGTGAACTTTAGCTGTGCTGTAGTTTTGGAGAGAAAACACTTCAGGAAAGAAGAAACCTTTAGGGGGGGCTTATTGGGTGTAACTCTATCTGACATATCCTATGGAATATTTATATATATATATGCAATAAATACATATTTTCCTGTACAGCTGTATACATTAATAGAAGTTATGGTTGTCTGGTGTAATTAAAATCACCCAACCAGCTTTCATTGGTTCATTAAAGAACACTTTTTGCTGTCTTAACTTCACCTGGCTCTCTAAATTATGAATTATGGACAATTATGAAATTAATTAGGAATGAATTTGTTATCATGTTAATTGTTTCAATTATTTGATTAATTGCCCTAGTTATACAAGTGCATTTTGTTGTAATTGTCATGTTTGCTTTGCTCTATTGTGAGATGCAAGAGTTGTTTTTTTCGCTGACTGAGTTGAACAGGGATTAGCCTATGGGCTGACCACATGTCCCGTGGCCTTTGTTTTGTTGCTTTTTTTGTTTTTTGCACTGAGTGAGTAAATTGGTGTGGATAAAAGAGAATGCACTGACAAGGGGTTTCTAAAGCGAAAGGTCATTTGGAGGTTCAGAACTGCTTTTTGCCTCTGTCAGAGGCCAGAAGCCTGTGAATAATGGTGACAAGCAATTATACGATGATCCCAAGTTATGAAGCCAAATTATGTCATTAAATTACATCAAAAACTTTTATGAAGGATGCGTAAGTATGCAGTTGACCTTATCTGTATTCAGTAGATGCATCATGTCTGGTTTTTCGCATGTTAAGATCTCTTTGTTGCATATTTCAGCTCAGGCCTCCGACAGTGATAGGCCAGTTCCACACGCTGTTTTTTGGCTCTGTGCGTACCTTTTTTCTTGGAGTCCTTGGATTTGCTGTCTACGGCAATGAGGCCCTGCACTTCAGCTGTGATCCGGACAAGAGGGAATTAAACCTTTACTGTTACAACCAGTTCAGGCCTATAACACCTCAGGTAAAAGTGCATTACAGAATTTGGATTTAATAATCTGCTTTTATAATACAATCAATAGATTTATATGCAGCTCAAAGTGTTTTTAAATGTGGAATTATGAAAAATTTAGAATGAAAGACGTTTTTTTGAAAAAACTATAACTGCTTTTGTTTCTAATTCATTAAGTGCTGGTGATGCGACAGTTGTCACACTTGTAGTTTGGTTCTCTTGGTTCTTTTAATCTGGATTGAACTGAAATTATATATTTAGACATGGCTTGCATATTATTCACACTGTAAACAAATTTAAAATACTAAACATAATTTGAATATGATGTGTAGTTTTAGACGGAAACACCTTATACAGGGTGTCCGCGGGGTCTGAAAAAGTCTTTCAAAATTTGAAAAACAAAATTTTAAGCCTTAAACAGTCTTAAATTCCCTGAAATATTATCTTGTAGGTCTTAAATCATTTTAGGTCTTATTTTTCTTTTGTTTATCCAAAGCTACCCAGTTGATCCAACACATTAAATCACCAACAAAATATCTCAATAAAACTTGACCATCAAGATCTGCAATGTAAATTCAGCCTAAAACCGGCAACTATAGTAGTGTCCACACTAAAGGCTAGTACACCAAAGATCATGGTCAAGAAAAAATCTGAATTTAAATAAATATCCCCTTACACCAATAACTATAACAGAGGATCTGTATCAACGTCACAATAAAAATGCCCCACACGCTTACAATACACAGAGCTTCATTGTGCATTGTTGTGTAATGTAATTTAGATGTATTTATAGTTTATATTGTTGTTGTGAATGCACACAAAAAAATTTATTTCTGTTATTTTTTTAAAACGGTTTTGTTGTCTGCCTTTTAACTGAGATAATTTGTTACTTTTTTCTACTGTACGCTATTTTGAAGAAAAAAATTTAAAAGCCCAAAATTAAGAATGCTATGTCTCAGACAAGCTAACTGTGATGCCTCATTCACACTAGTAGCGACTTTGTAGCTGCCTGTCGCTCTGGGTGGCGACTTACTGCAAACGCAGGTCTGTGTAGGTCTACGGCACATAGAACACAACTGGTCTCTGAGCGAGCTGAGAGAAGATCAAGTGAGCTCTACTGGTGCTTTTATTGGCTTTCACTCAAGAAAGCAGCTCTTCATTTGCATAAAGTTAAAGGATTCTCAACTTTGTCATGTCGCTTAACACGCCCACCTGGTCGCCAACGGTCGCATTGGCTTGTGTAGATGGAGGTCGCCGGAAGTCTCTCACTCTCTGATAAAAAGAACGGTCACTTGTCGATTTTCCGCTGCGAGTCAATCGTAGTGTGAATGAGGCTTGAAGATGTGTTGTGATAATCTCTTGTAATGTTTTTGGTGGAAACTTAAATAAAAGTATCAGTTGGCAAAATGGCAAACTTAATTAAAAAACAAACAAATTTTAAAACTGCTAAGTAACGTTAATTGTATTTTCTTGCAGGTTTTCTGGGCGTTACAGCTAGTCACTGTCTTGGTACCTGGAGCAGTGTTTCATCTTTATGCTGCCTGTAAGAATATAGACCAGGAGGAGATCCTTCATCGGCCGATGTCCACAGTCTTTTACATCATCTCTGTCCTGTTAAGAATAATTCTAGAAGTCTTAGCGTTTTGGCTACAGAGCCACCTTTTTGGTTTCCTGGTTGATCCTATTTTCATGTGCGATGTCACCGGCCTTGGAAAGATCCTCAACGTCTCAAAGTGCATGGTTCCTGAACACTTTGAGAAGACCATCTTCCTCAGTGCAATGTACACCTTCACCATCATCACCATACTGCTCTGTATTGCTGAGATTTTTGAGATACTGTTCCGAAGACTTGGCTATTTAAACCAGCCAATGACTTAGTGTTTGTGTGATGCTGCCCTAACAGTATTTGTTTTGTGTCTTCTGGATCACCGAATGACAAACTGGACATAAACCTACATACCTCTGCATTTTCTGGTGGTGGATACAGAAAGATATGCTTTTAAAAAAACAAAACAGACAAATTATTATATATTTTCTGAATGATTTTAACTAAAGAAATTTAATTATTGACAAGGAATTAATCTTTTTAACATCTTATTTTTTTTTGTTTGCTTCATTTATTGGCCAATTAAGCTAATTTAAACAAAACATTTAGCAAGTAATTATTATTTTCTTATTCATATTTTTACCACACAAATAGCAAGAACTATTTTGATAAATAGAGTTTATTTTCAAAATCAACAAGGATTGGCCATAAAACAAAACATAATTTTCTGAAAAGATTGTTGATTGGTTCATAGCATTGCGCAACTTTTGCCACAATCATGCACAGACAATACATACATCATGCTGCTGATTTCCATATAGTTTTCAGTATGATATTGTTTGCTTGTAGTATTTGTATCTGTATGTTTTTATCAGGCATCCATCCAACTTTTGTTATTATTCTCAGCTAAGTGTTTCATCTCAGGTACAAAATGGCATACTGTGAACTCTTGTGTCAGCTGGGTAACTGTTTAATACATGACAAATCTACACTTTATGTTATATACAATCATCTGAGGGGATCTGACAGCAGATCTGGCCTGTAAATCTTTCCACAGTTGCCTTCCCACTATTTCAACACCACAGCTGTTTGAGTAATAGCTTTTATGTTTTGATTTGATCATTTCTATTGGTTTCTGATCAGTGTCTGTGGGATTTATGATATGGTTATGCATGAAAATCTATAGGTCATTGGTACATATATTATGACTGCCGTCACGTATGATCAAGTTTATGGAGATATTTAGTGTTAAGTAACTCCTGGTCAGAATAAACAGATCTGCTTGTGTATCCATTGCTGTGTGATACAGTGTGTCTCCATAGTGTTTGTAAAGTTTTGTTCTCTTAAGAAAACATTTTAAATTGATTTAGTTCAGTTGTTGTTTTCTACACTGTAAAACCCAAAAAGTTAAGGTAACTCAAACCATTTGTGGAAACTGATTCCATCAAACCATTTAAGTTCAAAAACTAATCCTAATGAGTACTGTGAACTTAATCCATTTAAGTAAATGAAGAAATCTGAGCACAGTAAAACCCAATAAATGAAGAGAACTTAAATCACTTAAGCACTGTAAAACCCTATAAGTTAAGGCAACTCAAATCGTTTGAGGAATCTAATTGCTACAAACCATTTAAGTTCAAAAACGAATCTATATGAGTACAGTGAACTTACTCTATTTAAGTTGAATAAGATATTTAAGTGATTAAGTACACTGTAAAACCCAACAGTTAACTTTATGAAATGAAATGAGTGTGGTTAACTTAAAATTGACTGAAAGTTAATTCTACTTATTTGAAAGAGTTTTTGAACTCAGTGTTAAAGGTACTGAGTTAGTTAAATACCTCATTACTTCAACTTAAATGGAGTAAGTTCACATTATATAGATTAGTTTTTTTTTAACTCAAATGGTTTGTTGCAATCAGTTTCCTCAAAAGGTTTCTGTTGCCTTATTAGGTTTTACAGTACTCAGCTGATTTGAGTTCATGTCATTTATTGGGTTTTACTGTGCTCAAATTGCTTTGTGTACTCAAAAGGATTAAGTTCACAGTACTCATTAGAATTCGTTTTTTTAACTTAAATGGTTTGTTGCAATCGGTTTCTTCAAATGGTTTGAGTTACCTTAACTATTTGGGTTTTACAGTGTAAGTCTTGATTAAGCATTAATGATGAACACCTGCTATTAACAAGCAGAATTACTGAAGAGAAACACAAAACTACAGCAACCTCATTCACATCATTAAAAGAAAAAAAAACACCTTCAATCTCTTAAAATCTTAGCAGAGGATCATTAAACAACTCCACAAACATTACCAACAGCTTCACACCGCAACACTGAGTTCAAAAATCTTTTCATTGATTCATTTTCTTTTCAGATTGGTCAGTTTATTAGTCAGTGGTCACCAAAGTGGAATGAACTGCCAAATTATCCAGCACATGTTTTATACAGCGGATGCCCTTCCAGCCGCAACACAACACTGGGAAACACCCACACACTCTTGCACACACTCACATACACTACAGCCAATTTAGTATATTCAATTCACCCACCGCATGTCTTTGGCCTGTGGGGAAACAGGAGCACCCACACTCTCAGAAATAAAGGTACGCGAGCTGTCACTGGGGTTGGTACCTTTTCAAAGGGTAAAAATTTGTACCTAAAAGGTCAATATCAATACCTTAAGGGTACATATTATTACGTCAAAAGTGCAAAATTGTTCCTCTTAAAATTTTTAGGTACTACTAAATACTTTTGAGGTATCAATATGGAGCTTTTAAGTACAAATGTGTACCTTTTGAAAAGGTACCACCTCAGTGACATGTACCTTTATTGCTGAGAGTGCAAAGAAAACCCACAAGGGAGAACATACAAACGCCACACAGAAATGCCAACTGACCCAGCCAAGGCTTGAACCAGCAACTTTCTTGGTGTGAGGTGATCATGCTACCCACTGCGCCACAATGAAACCACACAATACGATATCAATCACACAAATAAACATTATACAAGTAAGGTCAATAAAATAAAGTCTAATAGAATATAAAATAAAAATCTGAATCTAATCGTATCTAATGTAATGTTTGATAAAATAAATGAATCAAATTAAAGAATGATTATTAACTTTGAATATAAAATAATAAGTGGTCATATTAAATTATTTACTTATGTTTTACATGGTTACAAACTTCTATATTAAATACTGCAGAAATGGAGATTTGAAATGGACTAAAATAAAATATAAATAAATATATTTTGGAGCCTTTCTGTAATCCGTAAATAGAAATTGAAATAGAAAATGTCATATTTATACTTGTTTAAAAAAAAATTTGCATGCAACTTATTTTAATGCATCTAATATTTATTTTTTCCCAGTACTGGGTTGCAGCTAAGGGCATGCGCTGTGTAAAACATATGCTGGATAAGTTGGTGAATGAAGGGACTAAGCTAAAGGAAAATTAATGAATAATATTTATTGTTTTATTGATTTATGAACTTACACATGTCTTTAATCAGTGTTTTCTGTAAAATGTCTTTTTATTTTGCATTTTGCAATATGTTAAAAAACGGTATGCGAGAAAATGAAAAGCTATTATATACACTATATACATATACACTTACATTGTTTCCTTTTGTCTGACACACAAACAAAACTTTTTAATAGATTTCTCTTAATATGAGTAATGCCATTTCCTACTCCTCGCCTATGGAGGTCAGTAAAGGCGTGGCTGCGCGCTCACGTGACGACGCGGAAGCAGTTCAGTCATCTTTGTTGTTAGCCGTTTTTTCGGCTCTTGCTTACCGTAGAAGTTTGTAACAGTGAGTTTTCTTCAGGATGGCGCTCCCGCCGCAGCTGAAGGCGATCCAGCATTACTTAAGAACAGCGCAAGAGCACGAGAAAAGAGACCCGGTGGTCGCTTATTACTGTAAGTCTGAGAAAACATCGCTTTGTTTTGTTAGCTTCTCATATAGCAACCCCTCCCCTCCCATTGGCTAATTTAAATGTGCCTTTTTTCAGATTACAACAGATTAGATTAATTAGAATTAAATGGTTTTAAGTACTCAGTGTTTACCTCTAATTTTATATTTATTCAGTCGTGTGTGAAAATTAGCTTCGGTTTCCTTGCTAAGCTATTCACCAGCTAACGTTACTGTTGTGATATTGTTTTTAACAGTCAAATGTATGCAATAAGTATTAGTGTATTTCTTAAATGTGTGACTACTTTCATAGTTAGTTCTCATTTCCAAGAAGCGCTGCAACTTTAGCAACAAATGTAGCAGGGCTAGCTAACAGTTTTGTTTTGAGAGGTTTGTTTGAAGCATGAGTAAATCATGGTGACTTTCACTTGCTAGATTTATTTTCAATCAGTTCTGAGATCTGTAGCTCATACGATACTGTTACGTGTTCGCTTATTTCTAAATGACTAGTAAAACTAAGATATCCGGTATGTGCTGAATCATGCAATAGAGACTGATTGTTGATGTCATTCTCACCATGAAGCAGGGAAAACAAGTTCCTTTAGGCGTGTTAAGATATTTTGTAAACTGGTCTCAGGTCAGTCAAGTTACAAGTAACTTTGAGATAAAGTTGGTTTCATGTATTCGCAGATTTAAACTTTGACGTTGAATAAAATAGTACAGTGAATTTAAAAAGGCTAATAATTATAATGATGTACTCTTATGAGCACAACTTGTGACACAGTCCCTATATTGTTCACCATGATATTTTTGAAAATTCTGTCTGAAATTGCATGCAAGCATGCCTTCAAAGCAACATTAGCAGTATTTAACTGACTGTGAATAGGCATGGGCCGATATAAAATTCTGACTGTTTGATAACCTTATATGAAAATATCACAGTTTCACGATATCCCGGTATTGTGGTTACTGCTCATAAATATATTCTTTTTAAACGTCTGAGTAAAAATAAAAACTTTTTCCCCTTTTAAACAGAATGTATTTAATTTTGAGAAACATTTAAAATATTTTGAAAGGATAAACATTTCAGGCTAAATGAATTATTGACTTCTGCTGTCTTCATTTGTTTCCAAAAGATATTTTTTAACAATCTAAAACTGCATCTTTAGATATATTTTCTGCTAAAGATACTGATGTCCTAAAAACAAAACAAAAAAACTTAAATTAAAAATCGTACACATACCTTAGGAACGGTATTGCAGAAAATGTTGTCGGGTATTAAATCTTGACTTTTCCAAACACCTTGAACACGGTTATCATCCCATGCCTAACTGTGAACAAATGTTTTACTTTTGAGTTATTGGATCCTTGGATAAAATTTACAAACAAAAATCTTCAGAAATTATGCTGTTAAGGTGAAAGTCTAAATATGCAAATCTAAAACCAACTTTACCACAATATGTTCTTCAGTATAACATTTAAGGGATAATTCAGTGACAGTTCTACTGCAATACACACCCTTAACTTGCTTTATACCAGTTTGATTCTTTTTTTTTTGTTGGACACAAAGAAAAATATGTCGAAAACTTGTAACAATTGACTTCCATGTTATTTGTTTTTGCTGCTGTGGATGTCAATGGAACATGTTTCCAACATTCTTCAAAATATCTAAAGCAAAACAAAAACTTGAACTGGTTGACAGCTAGCTCTCTGCAACTCTCACTGGTCTGTACCTAGATAGGAGACCACATGGGAAAGCTAGGTTGCTTCTGGAAGTGAGGCCAGCAGGGGACGCTCAACCTGTGGTCTGTGTGTGTCCTAATGTCCCAGTATAGTGAAGGGGACTCTCTATACTGCTCAGTGAGTGCCATCTTTCAGATGAGATGTTAAACCGAGGTGAATTGAATAAGCTAAATTGGCTGTAGTGTATGTGTGTGAATTCAAGAGTGTGTGGATGTTTCTCAGTGTTGGGTTGCGGCTGGAAGGACATCTGCTGCGTAAATCTGCATCCGGCAGCTAGCTCTCTGCAACGATCACATGGTCGCCCACTAGTGAGCGTCGTCTTTCGGATGAAACGTTAAACCCAGGTCTTGACTCTCTGTGGTCGTTTAAAATTCCAGGATGTCCTTTGAAAAGAGTAGAAGTTAATCCTGGCCTCCTCTGTAATGTTACAGCAGAGAAAGCTAAAATGCAGTCCAAACGCTGCTTTTTCCACAGAGCTTCTTCTGTTTCTGTATTTGGGCTTCCAAAGGACACAACACAAAGAAATAAGTGTTTACAGCCTAATTTTAATTATGTGCCAGAGGATTATAAAATATATAGCAAGCATTTTGACAACGCACAGCTTTCAGAATATCTCCCAGTTCAGTGCTGGATTCAG